TGGCTGGCAGCGGGCTGGTGCAGTTTTCAAATAATTTTTTTTTTTTTTTTTTTTATGACAACATTATAAATTAATAAGTTTATAATGTATATAAGTTATAAAATTATAATTATAAGTTTTATAAGGTTATAACTTATAAGTTTATAACTTATAAGTTATAAGTTATTAAGTGATGAATTTTATAATTATAAGTTGAATATTTATGTTTTATAATTTGTATATTCAATATTTATATTTATATATTTACTTTATACTATTACTTTAAAATTTAATGTTTATGATTTATTAGTAATTGGTATAATTTTATTTTTTTTAATATGAATTTACAAATTGTAACAAAACGGGGAAAAAAGGCAAATTGGACTTTGGATGTGAATAATGCGTACTTTATATTATTATTACTTGAGTTGAGAAAATTGTACAATGATAACAATGATAAAAATCATACAATGATGGTATTAAACAAAAATTGGAAAATGATAAAATTGATATTTTTAAAATCGTACAATATACAATAATTGTCTATTCTTCTTCTCCTTCTTCTTGCTCGTCTTCGTCTTCGTCTTCGCCTTCGCCTTCAAGGTCATCGGCTAGTTGCATAGATTGGGAACTAGCCGAACCCGAACCGGAAGCGGAGGTTCCTTCTTCGTTGTCGTTGTGGTCGTAAGAACGATCTTGTGAGCGATTTTCCGCATCCAACCAATCTTTGAAACACACGCACATTTCTAGTGTTTCGGGTTTTAGACTTGTTCTTCTATCGTCTAAAACCCTTCCGGATGCGCTGAAAGCTCGTTCGGAGGCGACGGAGGAAACTTGGATAGCAAGAATGTCTCGTGCCATTGCCGCCAAAGTTGGATGCTTCGAGCTTTGTTGTTTCCACCATGCAAGGAGGTCGAGGCTGTTTATCTCATCGTCGTCCATGCCTTTGGTGAAGTCGTAACTCAGGTACATCTGCAACTCCGAGACGTCGCTTTCCGTTCTCCTGATTGATGAATCACCTGAAAACCTTGAAATCAAGTTAGTAGCTTGTGAAAATAAATGTTTGGCCTTCTTACTTACGTTTTTGGATGGTTGGGAAGGCCCTGAGCGAGGAACGGTGCCATATTTGGCTTCATAGACTCTATACAAAGCAAAAAACTGATCCTTCACATCAGTCTTATAGTTTTCTACATCATCGTCAAGAAACATGCAGTGAAAGTAAATGTCAACTAACATAAATGTGTTTTCATACTTTTGCCTAGGATCTAATATGGAAGCAAAAATATAAATCAAAGGAATCTCACTATAATATTTACGCCATTTTTTTTTCCATTGCTGGAAGATACTGATCATAATCACTTTGATGGCGATGATCGCGAAAAGTTGGGCGAGTAAGCATGCATTAGAAAGAAAGTTTTGAGCACAAGGATTGTAAACAGTAGAAAAACAATACGTCATGTTATATAATAACTGTAAAAATTGCATATATCTTTCACAGTTATTCCAATCATCATCATACAAAGCATTTTGTGGAAATTTTTGGTTGTAAAATAATGTTAACGGGCCCTTGTACTTAATTGCCTTTGTTAACATGTCATAGGTGGAATTCCACCTAGTTGGGCAACCGGTTCTAATTTTTATTACCCTTATCTTTTGTTGTTTTAGAAAACTCTTCCATTCTTGGTATTTCATGTTAGAGCTATTAATAGACATAATAGCATCTCTGATTTTGCTGTAGTATGGGCCAATTGCCCGAACTCCATCCTGTACACATAAGTTAAGTACATGGCAAACACATCTAGTATGAAGAGCTTCACCGTCTAATAGTACATCGGTTAAGTTTTGTTTGATAAGATTAGCTGTGTATGTCATAGAGGTTGCATTATCAAAAGTCATAGACATCATTTTATCTCGAAGGTTGTATTCGTCTATTGCTTGCATTAAATGGTGAGCAATGTTAATGCTGGTGTGTGGGTATTCCAGCATTTTGAAATGTATTATTCTTTTTTGTAACATCCATTGATCATCTACCCAATGGCAAGTCACACATAAATAGTGATATTTATAACCACTATCCCAAGAATCGGCTGTTAAAGATACTCTACAGTTAAGGTTACTCAATTCGGCTTGTAACCGGACTTTGTACTCTAGGAAATTTTTCATTGCGGCGGAACGAACGGTTTTCCTAGAGATTCTTTTATGTTGGGGTTGTAGTGCTTTGTTAATGTAGGTGTTGAATGCGGCACTTTCCGAGAAAAGAAAAGGTTGTTCGGCGTGTACTATCATTTTTCCTAGTTCATCCCTATCCCTCTCATAGTTGTATGTAAAGCCGTATGGATGGAATTGGGAAATTTTGGGCTGGGTTGGATCACTAGCTGGTTTTGCACAAGCTTTCATGTGTCTAGATAAGTGTCCCGTCCCGTTTTTGGTAACTGCCGTGAATACACTATTACATGTTTTACATTTTGCCCATTGTTCACCATCTTTACTTAGGACAAAATAACGCCATACCTCACTCCTTCGGTTTTTCAAAAGTAGCATCTCAGTTTCGGTTAACCATTCATGATGTGTGTGATGGTTAGTAGTGGGACTAGTGGGAGTGGCAGTAGAAGGGGTAGAACCGGAGGGAATTCGGGTACTTTCTTGGCTACCTTGGCTAGAACAATAGTTTTGTTGATCACCGATATAATTAGGTGGAAATTGGTATGGTGGTAGTGGAAATTGGTTTAGTGGTGGTGCTGGAAATCCCGACGTATTATATGGCTCATAGCCCGGGGGGAAGTAAATGGGGTCATTGGTTTGACTCGTAATTTGGGGGCTCGTTGTATTTGGTGGTTCCCTAGAACTACTACTACGGATAAGTCGGCCTTTCCCCCTAGACCTAGATGATGGGTTGTTCGATGCCATAATTAACAATTAATTTTTTAATAAAAAGTGGTTAACTATAATAATAATAATTAATAACAACAATTTTAACAATAAAAATATCAATAATATTAATTAATAACAACAACTATAACAATAACAATAACAACAAAAATAAATAATAACAACAATTGTAACAATAATAATAATTAATAACAACAATTATAACAACAACAATAACAATTAACAACAATAATAATTAAACAAGATTATTCTAATAATAACAATAAAACAATAATAAATTTAAGATTAGTTTAGATCTTACAACCGTGCTTCAACGCTCCACTAATTACGATTACGAACTTTTTAATTTTTTCCGATATTAGGAAAATAATTAGAGAATTTAAGAGAATAATTAGAGAATTTAAGAAAATAAGGATTATTAGAGATTTAGAGAATATAAGAGATAAGAAGAAGAGATTGTGATTTTGTGATTTGGGAATGAAATGGAGGTGAGTATTTATAGAATTTTTGGGGAGCAAATTGGCAAAAAACTAGCCGTTTTTTAGCCGTTTTTTTTGGCTTATTAAGGAGCTAGAATAAACGGTAACATTACCGTTGGCCTGCGGGCACGACGGGCCAGCACGGCGGGCCATGCCCGTGCTCGTGCCGGGCCGTGCCTGGGAATTCTCAACCCTGTCCGTGGCACGGCCCGTGGCACGGGAGTTGAACTTCGTGCCGTGCCGTGCTTGAATTCGGACAGTGCCGGGCGGCACGCGGGCCAACCCGGCCCGTGCCCAGGTCTGCTGACTACAATTCAAACTACTTTATTATGTGTAAAATTATGGAGTGCGGTGTGTCTCTTCTGCTAATGGTTATTGTAGCCTTGTAGGGAATCAGGTGTAAGGCCTGTGGGCCGGGAAGCACAATTTACGGTGGGTTTCTGATTTATTGTTCATTTTATCTTTTTTTTTTTTTTTTTTTTTTTTTCGTCAAAGTTGATAAAGTAAGGTGAAATGAAATCAATATAATGGCCCCATAAGTTAGTAATTAGCGTTGATTTTGGCTACTTTTTTCTATATAGTTGAACTGTTTTACAGATTAGCTAGAACACATTTAATTGATTCAAGGCAAATTCTGAAATTAGTTACCATTCCATGGCCGGTTCTAATTTAACTTTTCATGATCTTAAATCAATAACGTGTTTGAAATTTACTGGAATATGAGGTGTACACGCTCATATATGGTGGTGCACGATGCTCGATAATTGAACTTATATGCAATAATTGTAAAATCAAAGCAAGTATTCACATAATTAAAGCCTTGTTACATTGGAAACAAATCTTTATACTATTAATAATAATAAGCACATGCTGGACAAGTTAATAATTTCTTGTTTCCTCAAGCCTGGTGAGTTGGAGGATAATAATCCCAACAGGGTGAATATTGACTCTTAAAAAAGGTTTGTTGATATGTACTGAAACATGTTTGATTTATCCTAGAAGTATGATGAAAATCAGAGGATTTAGTACTAGTCACTACTTTCAATTAATGTTACATTCTTTTCATGCTGGATCTGGTTGGGAGATTCTTGGTTTCTTGATCTTCCAAGTAAAGAATTTTATTATTATTACCAACTGAAACTATCAAAACTACTGATATATAATTCTCTGAATTAGCTAATGAAATGATCACAATTTGTACTTTGTATATTCCATGCTTAATTATATAGTTAACTTACATAAATTTGTCTCACCATAGAGAAAAAAAAAGAAGTTATTCTCTAACGAATGAAATGTACAATGGAATGATCCCGTAATGACTCAAATGTGGACTTCGTGTTATTTATGCCTCAACGTATACGTAATGTTTCTTGTCTAACGGAGAAGATGCAATACATATTCCTAGTGTGGGAATAATATATATGGAGTAGTCAATTAGTTTTGTTGCTTAGGGGTAGGGATTCTTTTACCTTCAATTCCCTCTACTTTCAAATGTCTAACCCGTAATAATGGACCAAAAAACCCTTGAGGGTTAATGTCTATATTTAAGGTCATCCTTACAATAATCTGCTTAATAGAATAAGATAAGCTGTGTAAAAGATATAAATAGCAAAGAACAACAATATATAATATCCGAACATTCACACCTAGTCGTATTTGGGATCTATGGAGAAATTTGTTATACGAACAATTACTAATTTGCTACAAAGTACTGTATATAGTATTGCAAATATTACATTAATTAAAGATCATACATCATCTACGATGACCAAAATTTTACCTTCCAACACATATCAAACATCACTTGAAGGTTTTGACACCTACATCATCTATTTTTTCCTCATCAAAACTACAAGTTTTCTGACTTAGATAAAACAACAGACTCACATGATAATGACACCAGACTAATTAAGTGGTACTAGAAAAATATTTACAAGTTTAATCATGGCTGTCAACCAAAGTTCCAACTACATAAACAAAAACACATGCATGCTTTAATTTATCATCATCCAACGACCAACATCATATTACCTCACGTGTTCTCCACATGATACCATCAAGTAAATTTATCGATGTAAACCAACTCGAATTGAACCCGACCCAAACAGCTCTTCAAGTCACACCGAATATACAATCACGAAGCAAGGGAGCACCGCTCTCGGGTTAAAAACAAGGAGCTCATCATCATCCATCTTACCCATCCCGGCCGAGCTCCGGCCCACCAACGAGTCAAATCCCGGGTCCTCCTTATCTGCCACCATCGGATCACACCCAACACGACCCGCCACAACCCGACACACGAGCATAGCCCGCTTCACGTTCATGAACGCAAACTCGGCCTCCACGTCATTAGGGATCGCCTCATGAGCCCGCCAACTAGTGGCAAAAGTGGAAATTCCATCCAACTTAGGCGAAAACCCTGACCGAATAATCCCACATGCACTACAATAAACCTGACTACACAAAGCAGAATTACCATGTTGCCCCAAGTTACATAAAAACGTCGTACAATGAAACCTCAACAACTCATTACCGTCCACAATGCACCTCTCGTCTCGCCGCGTCGTAGCGCCACTGGCGGCGCGTGCAATATCACGCGTCGCCTTAGACTTAACCGCCTCACGAAAATCCTCGAATTTCGCGAGGATCTTTTGGGAGTTATGAATCTTCAAAATACGGTGAATTTTCGGGAGTTTATTTTTATCAGTCCAACCCGTATTAAATATGATCCATACAATATTCTTACCCGAATCACCATCTCGGAGCTCCGAAACTGCGTGTTTAACACTCTGATGTTGTTCTAGAAGGCTCTGCTTCTGGAACACTTCACCACAAGAAGGGCAAGGGAAGATATCATTGCGTAGGGGCAAAAACGGGTTTTCATATAAGTCGAATTCGGACCTTGACTCGGATCGGCGTTTACGCGGGCGAGACCGGAACTCGTCCGAGTCATGAATGGGTAAAACAATAGAGTGTTGAGACGATCTCGGAGACGAAAACGACGTCGTAGAAGCGGTAGTAGTAGTAGTATTGGTAGGAGTTGAAGGGCGTGTTTGTTGGGTCATACGTTTATTAGAGGAGGTGAAAACGCGCTTTAGAAAACACCAAGAAGATGAAAACGCTCTTTTAGGGGATAGCTTATTGTTAATGTTATTAGAGGATTTTCTTTTCTTTGATTGTAGATAATTAAAATCGTTTTTATTGTTATTCTTATTGTTGTGAGAAGAGAAGAAGAAGCAACCAAGATGAATGAAAATAAGGAGGAAAGGGTAAAAGAGCTTATTGAAGTGAGAAGCTAAGCTTTTGGGTGCCATTTTAATGGAGTTTTTGTAAGTTTGTTAAGGGGTTGTTAGGTTCAGTCCATTGGAGGAGAGAGAAGATGAAAAATGGATGGAATGAAGAAAGGAGAGGTTAGGTGGTGAGAAAGTTCTTGTAGTAGGGATATAATAGCATCTTATGATGCTACAGTTGGATGATTTTATTGGGAGATTAAGGGTAGTATAATCATTACGATTAATTACTTATTCCGTTCGTGGCTCCGTCCCTAGCTATGCTAGCTTAGTAGCTTACATACTGTTTCGATCTTTTTACGATTTTTAAGACGTGTCTAAAACCATTAATATATTCATTTATTGATATTCTATAAGAAAAAAAAAAATGCATATGAAATAATGGGGTAATGTTTTAGTGACGAGAAAGTAATTAATAAGAATAAGAAAATATAATTAGTACTATACTTTTGGGGATAATTGAATCTAATCTTTTGTGTTGTAGTGTGATGATGGAGTAGGGTTGAGAATGTGGGGGAGAAGTACAAGGGGGGTGGCAGATATCATGTGATATATGGAAGAGATGAAGAGTATTATTTTCTAAATATGGAATTTAATAAATACTAATTGGACTGTAGGATTATAAAGGAATCCTATATAGTCACCCTTTGAAAAAAAAATGCAACTTGATTTCTTGGATGCTTATGGTCTTTTGGTGAATAATTGAAAATGCATATCAATGTCAAGTTTTTCTTTTAATAAAACAAGATAATAAGTACTACGTATTTCATATATCCTAGAGGTTATTTGTACTGATTTGTTATTATTATAACTGATACTTTTAATTAGTCGATCTTAAATCCTGTTTTGGATTTACCAAAATAATTATAATACTCGACCATGATATTAGACTTCATTAGGCAAATAATTAGGTTTAAAGTGGTAGATATATAGTCAGAATAATAAAAATCTAATTTCTTAGAAAGGGATTTTGTTTTTTCCCATCCAACAAAAAAAAGATAGCCTAATACAAAATCGATCATGCTCCATGCATATACATAAATATGATGTTAAGTTAATTAATGGTTAATATATCACTTTTCTTTCAATTATGTGCACAACCACTTATATCATTTTCAATTGCCATTGACATGACAACAACAAATTTCATGTCTGAAGTTATCACCTATTATATATGATAGAAATTTTGGATTATAAGAAGCAAATACAGTAATTAAATATTATTGATTACAAAAATTAATTTTAATTTAAATAGATTTTTGGAATTTCATGGGAAAAGGACATGCATGGGTACACACGTGCAATGTTTTCCTAAATATGACACCTCCCTAACCAACGACATTGATTGAAAATTTGAAATCATCAGTTAAAACTTAATCAACCATATAATATAAGATTATTTATTACGAAGTATAAGATTATATTAGTATATAGTTGTAAACTTCGAAATTAGGGTTGGTTTTGAGTATCAATCTTGGATTATATGTCTAAATCCAAAGAAAGAATGTATGTATTATGAGTACGTAACGCCAATTATCTTTTCTAACTCAATCCTCAAGGCGAATCCGATGCTTCCTGCATGCATGTATAATCATCTATTTTATTTTTTTATTGAGGGGAAACCGATTTTATTTATTTTTTTAAATTATTTTTTAATTTTAATTAAGAATAATACTAAGTAATAATTATTGTACACATTGTCTGTGTCTCATAATGGATCTGGAAACATACATTAAGGGATTCTCTCTCCCTTTAATTTCATATATATATATATATATATATATATATATATATATATATATATATATATATATATATATATATATATATATATATATATATATATATTTTAGTGCATATCACAATTTTTTTATTTTAGATTATTAAAAATGATAGAATCCTATTACGGGATATTTTATTTTATTAAATCTATTATGACTTATGAGAGTCAATTTTTTTTAGTAGTATTAAGTTTTGTAAATGTTAGGCCAAATCTAATACTCCGTAGTCCGTATAAGACTAATCAATTTTAGGATACTAGAAATACAACTTATTAGAGGACAACTTTTTATTGCACAACCAATTGTATATATAGTGAAGGTTATTTTCATAACCTAGTTTATATGTTTCACTAAACATTTGCTAATAAGAACAATATTTTTTTTTTGGAGAAACTAATAAAAACAATTACTCATTTAAAGAAACTTCTAAAAAAATCATTTATTTTGTTTTAGTTATTCGAAGTACGTAGTATATATAATGACAAACTTTGTGATTAAAATCTGCGAGTGAACCTGACAGTAAAAAAAAAATACAAATTATTCTGTACTGTGTAAATTTGTTCAGTGATTATACTATCAAGATGCATCTGAACCCTTAATCCCTTTGAAAATTGGAGTTTAATCTTAATTTAACCGTTGGAATGGATGAGTAAGTGCAGTGAATTAGTTTATAAAATTGTGGTGTACACATGATAAAGACAGTATGTTACCGTATTTTAAGGATTATTCACATGATATAATCCTAAATAGCCTTGATTTAATACAACTCCTAATAATTAATCAGGGTTATGGCGTAATGAAGCACATACGCACCGAGTAACTATATATGGCAGTATGTAGTTTAACCGTAAATGTAGTATACCTTTTGTTGCTCACTGATTTCTAGAGCAATGTCATTAATTTTCAATGATTTATTTTTTTTTTAATTTTTTTTTATTATTATTTAAGGTAAGATGAAGAACCCTACTAGATCGACACCTCTCACAGGTTAAGTTAGCCTAGCTCCGCAAGTCAACGCTTGAGAGTAGAGGGGGGAGGTAAGGAAATCCCCCTACTCCCAAGCAATTGTAGTTTCGAATTTGTAACCTCAAGGTCACAAGGTAAGTTCCCTACCAACTCTACCAAGCTTGATTGCTTGGTCATTAATTTTACATGATTGTTTTGAGTTTCTAAACTATAAAGGATCGGAACGTACAGTAGAGATCTGAGACCGAGAGAGCTGTACATAGCTAAGACTTAATAATGTATGTATGATTAACTCACAGTGATCTCCTCTATTGAGTAAGAAAAATTAAACCATTTTTTTCAACCTAAATAAATATTGTCATATCAGTTTCTTCACCGGCCATTTTAATACGTTCATTAACAACTGCATGGAAAGTTATGAATTCTACTATGTACTAATTGCATGGAAGACTCACTTAAAACTTTTAAAAACCGTTTGGCAATGAATGTTTGTATTTTTAATCGCTTTCCTAATGTTCTAGAAGAATATTGTGATGCAAATTGGGTAACCAATAATGATGAAATATCCTCGACTAGTGGCTATGTTTTGATTTTGGGTGGAGGTGTTATTTCATAGAAGTCCTCAAAACAACCATGTTTAGCTCGCTCCACCATGGAATCTGAACTTATTGCTCTTGAGTTGGCAGGTCATGAAACAGAATGGCTTAGGAATCTCCTAGCCGAGATACCATTGTGGGGGAAGAGTTCATCATCGGTGTCTATACATTGTGACTCTCAAGCGGCAATTAGAGTGGCCAATAATAGCAACTACATACAATGGCAAAAAGAGACATATTCGTATGAGACACAAAGTGTTGAGGCAATTTCTCAAGAATGGAATAATTGCATTGGATTATGTGAGGTCTGAAAAGAACTTGGCGGATCCTTTGACGAAAGGATTGGCAAGAAAACAAGTTGGTGAGTCATCGAGGGGAATAAGACTTAAGCCGTATGATACATTATATTTGTCCTAATTCCTATGGTGATAATGTTAGTAATGTTTGACTTTGTTTGTGAAGTTGAGTTGTTTAACTCTTAATGGGTCCTTGTGCTATTGAGACACACATTAAAGGACTCACCTATGTGGTTGTGAAGATTAACCATCTTCTATGAAAACTTTGGCCGGTTTTCTAGAGCCTCCACTAGACCTAAGGTGAATGTGCTTGGCTATAAATAAGTATATCCCTTCGCGGATTTCAAGTATATTTTGGAGTGATGTATGTGATGTGGGGGTCTTGGATTAAATCTCAGAGTTTCAAGGTCCGTCCAATCTTTGATCAAGGGTCTAAGGGTTTCAAGGTTTGTCCACCCTTATACTTGTAATTCATTGCCTCATCTCACTAAACACTACATTTCAAGTTACTTATGTAATATCTAAGTGTTATGTATTGATCTCCTCTTATGCCCAATATGTTGCTTATCCTCATCTTTTGTTGGATTTTCTTCCCTTCCTTTAGTGGGGGATTGTTGAAATAAAGAAAGGAAATTCAAAGAAGTCAGATATGGGCACCCGATCGGGTGAGCACCGCCCGATCGAGCGCAAGTAGAATCGTAAAATTCTGGAGTTCTGCCACCCGACCAGGCAAGCTCCGCCCGACCGGGCGCGAGAAGACGTCTGGAAAAAGGGAGTGCATGCCCGCCCGATCGGGCGAACTCCGCCCGACTGGGCGCGAGGGCAACCTAGGTTTTAGCTGGGTGCTCACTCGACTGGGCGAGCTCCGCCCGATCGGGCGCGAGTTTGTCTGTTGGACTTCAATGGCTTCCTTGGATTCCTCTTCTTGTTTAATTTCTTGTAACCCCCCATCCACTTAAGAGGTTGATTATGGTTTTAAACATTATGTTTATTCTGATTTTATTCTCTTATTGATGAAAAAGATTCCTCCATGATATTCCATCTTCTTCCTTTCAACTTTATAAATTGGAGGAAGATTTTCTGATTTTATATACCTTGAAACATATACATCAAACACAAGCTAAACACATATTCTATATTGGACATAAGTTACTTGGTTCCAACCTTACACCCAAAAGTGCCTTTGAGTGGAAGTGGTGTGTTAACCTTAGGGAACGTGCCGACGAATACAATTGAGCACCCCGGTTGCGTCGGAATTTTGTTTTCAAGTCAGTGAATTTGCTTCACGACACACCGTACTCTTTCTCTTTTGTAAGATCAATTTTTCAATCTTGCTTAATATATTTTATACTATTTGTTCTAGACTTCTCTATTATTTACAACAACTTGATCTCTGATTTGTCTTTATATAAAGTGTAATGAATGTGCGAAATGTTTTAGCCGCTTCATGGTGTTGTATACACTTGTACTAACATTTTGGAGTTTGACTCTTTTCTATTAGAAGTGTACATTTGTATTCATGGTTTATTTTTTAAGGAAAATATAAGCAGGAAATATATTATTGTAAATTAATTAAGTTCACACAAAAGTTGGATATTTTGGGGAAATGAATTCAAGCATATGCGTTCATCGTTTTAACATATATATTTTGTAGAATGATACATACTCCATATCAATTAATGTCAAAGTTAACATTATGGCATAGCATATCCGTTATATGACCTATTATTATTATTATTATTATTATTATTATTATTATTATTATTATTAGCTCACCATAATGAACATTTTTATTCGTTGTTAATTAACCTTTATGAAGGTCTCATTCTATATTATTCCATTATTACTTGCTTTTACCAAAGGCCAAAATGATCATATACATGACATTTACAACTTGCAAATTTTATTAGCATCCTAAAATAGTGAAAATGTCATCTTTATTTTCTACAAGAATCTAGCTGTACGTAGAATACCAACTCATATTACACGGTCCGTACGTAAATTTTACTTTCTTTGTTATTGTTTTTTAGAGGTCGGTCCGTAATCTTTACTTTTGATTTTTCTTTAGTTATTAGTCCGTAAACTTTACATCCACTAATTTTCCTAATTAAAATATATTTAATTAATTTAATTATTCAGATTTTATTTTACAGGAAGATAACTAAGTGGGCCACATGATGTATGACTTCTGACTTAAAAATTACAATAATCCCTTTCTTTACGAATGGGCCAACTCCATGATTTTCTTTTGGGTCCAAATATATTTTTGGAGGCCTATGTGTCTCCCCCGTGCTTTAAACTATGCAAAAATTTGGCACCACAAAAACATAAAAATAAATAACGTAAATTAATAAATATCAATAATTTGTTCCCAAAATAATACTCCATATTATCAATAAAGATTTTGATATTGGTAATGGCTCTCAATTATACGCATAATATTGTTTGCTTTGTGTAAAAGTGTTGAAGCACTAATTAAAAAGTTGCATGTGGGAAGGACGAAGGGTACTTGGGATTACCATTTAATTAAGTGGAATCCATGCTTAATTGTGAGGTTTTTAAAGATGTTGAGTTATTAAACTACTCGTAAACTTTTGTGAATATTCCCTAACCAAACTTGTTTAGGCAAAAGTAAGCAAAATAATGGTTTTGTATGAATGTTGTACTATTATACTTAACCCTTGTGTAATGATTCGGTCTAGAGACCTATATATCAAAATTCGACTACTCAAAATTAATAATTTGTAGGTTATATCAATTTTTGTGACCTGGCTCATTTGATGGCATTTGAACCCCATAAACTTCATATCTACCCAACCGACCCATAAACTATTTCGTTTATTGATTGCAATCAAATGAAATATTGAGTTAATACTTAATAGTTAGGAAAAATTGCGAGGAAGGGCCTTTTAAAGGGACGATCTTGTGACAAAGGTCCTTATAAAAAAAAGGTGGCATCAAAGGTCCTTATATGTCAGTTGGGTGGTGAGGAGGGGCCTTTGACCGAATTCCGACCAACTTCCAGCGTTGACTTCTATTTTTAGGCCAAAAGAAAAACACATGCTTGGCACGTGACTTCTTTTTCTTTATTTTTTTCCCTTTTTCCTTCTTCTTCCTCGATTTCCCCTTTTCCTCCATTAACACCCCATCCTCATCTCTGCTTTCTTATCCCCAGCAGCCACCCATAACCCCTTGCAAACCCGACCCCACAAACGGCGGTGGCTTGAACGCTTGAGCCCACCCAAAACCCCCCTCGCCCTGAAAAACCCGCCCCTAAATATCCCCTTTCCCCGACCTGAACAACCCACTCTAAAAACCCCTTGAGCATTATTGCTCTGAACTTGGCTTGAGTTTTAACTTGTATTGCTGCCATTGACATCACCACCAGAGTCAACACGGCAATGTCGGAACTATCCAACATTTTCCAGCTCCGACGCTCATAATAATAAGATTAACAACTTCAACTAATCCAACAAATTAAGTTCAAACTTCTATTAATTTAACTAATTAAGTTCAAATTTCAATTAATATAGTAATTTAAGCTCAAACTTTAAAATATTTTCCAGAAAAATGGAATTGAAGGTGTATCTGAAATGGAGGAAAATGAAGAAATTAGGAGAGAGAAAATGTTAATGGAGGAAAAGGGCAAATCGAGGAAGAAGAAGGAAAAATGGGAAAAAAAAAAAGAAAAAGGTGCTTGGCACGTGTTTTTTTTGGCCTGAAAATAGAAGTCAACGCCGGAAGTTGGCCGGAATTCGGTCAAAGACCCCTCCTCACCACCCAACTGACTTATAAGGACCTTTGATGCCACCTTTTTTTTATAAGGACCTTTGTCACAAGGTCGTTCCTTTAAAAGACCCTTCCTCGCAATTTTTCCTAATAGTTAATACATGTTGTCCTAATGACAAAAACCATGGCCAATTTCGACTTAAGCCGTCGGATGAGCAACATTTTTGAGCCGATACATTGAGTTGAGCTAAGGCAATTCGAATGAGCCAAAGGTCAAAATGACCTAAACATAGGATAGCCACATTTTGGGATCAAAATAAACTAATTATTACGTAATTAAAAACGCAGGCCAGGTCTATTGGGCCAACTTAGATTTTTTAATATATATATATTCCCATGGTTCAAAAAGGAAATACAAAAATCTATGGGTTTGATTCCTCAACGTAATAATATACACGCAAGTCGTTGAAGAAGTTTGTTTCGTTACTAGCGGGCAACCAAAAATTATGATGGAAGTTGAAAAGAATAAATCTACACAGTACATTACATCATACTGTACAAAAAATGGACTTCTCTGAAGTTAACTTTATGCAATGGATGAGTGATCAAAAACACTTATTCATTCAAGTTATAATACTGTATAAAGTTTGCGGGACATATATTGTCTACATTTCTGTCCAACTGAATGGTTTGCCACATGCTTGTCTAACCCTTCAATAATGTTCATTTCTCATCTATTGTTAATTTTTTTATACACTTATGGAGTTATGGTACATATAATAGGCCAAATCAAAGTTATCTATTTATATTTGATTGTGACACGGTTCCGATGGGTTAAAAGAAATCACATGAAATAAATTCTTCTTACTTCGTAGAAAGTTCTTTAATTTAATGCAATTGCGTTTATTAATGTATAATAGTAATAATTATACAACAAATGACCCCTATCCTTGATAAATGCGTCACATCTAATAATACATACCCTCGAGTCACTTTAAATTAGATTGATAGTGGCCTCTCAAGAATCAAGGTCTACTAGCTAGGGCCATCTTCCTTCTAATTTACAGCTCCATTAACAATAATGCAATGATTTTGAGCATAATCAAATTTTATTTATAGTTTTAGATGGGCTTTGTAGCAAATACAGGAGTCCAAATAGCTGTACAACAACCCACAATCAGTAATGACAACAAAAGTTTTGAAAGCCCAGTACTTTGAATCATGGATATATGTCTTATGTTCACGAAACATTAGCTTATCATTTGAACCTCCATGTAACTAAATTATACAAGTAATTTCTTATATGAGACAGTCTAAGCTCTAAATGATTTCTAATTTCTTATTAACCATTCAATCAAGATAAGAAATGCTTTTATTTTTATTTATTTTTTTTTTAATTTTTTAAATTTGGTGTTTAGATAGCGACAAGGACAAGCAATGAGAATCGATCTCAAGATCACCTAGAATTAGGAGGGAAACTTTATCCACTTGAGTTATCCCTCACTATCAAAAAATACATTGATGATCAAACAATTGTAAGCTTGAAACCCAAATAATATTTAACTGACTGTTCTTAGTTTTCCTTAGCTCATAAGCCCAATGGGCAATGTAGTTTTGTACTTTTGTTAATCTAGTTTTGGGCCCGTTTATACTAGATGGAAGAAATGTGGATCGTTGGCCCAATTCCAACCAACTTTTTCCTCGTTTTTGGGCTCTATCAACTCACCAAATCTCCATAATCTGACCTCTAAATATGAATTTCACATTTTTTTTTGTCTGAATAATTGAAAACTATAAGGCCATGGGTAATATGTACAAATAACAAATGTGGATAGAGAATTTGAATTTAATGTACATAAGCCTTCAATCTGAATAATATGCCAAGATCTCACTGGTTAAATTTCACAATTATTAAGTTGCATAAACATGGTGATCAAGTACTAACAATTAGTTGTAGCATAATGAGCATATTGCTCAAAGATTATTAACATACTTTGTATATGCATATTGTACATTAAAAAATTTGAACTATACATTTGTTACGTTGTTAAGTAAATCACATAAATACTACGTCTTCATAAATTTTATTGATATAAACTAAAAGTTCCGATTTGAACTATTTGTCTACTCGAGAACACAAATCTTGGATGTAGGATAAAGTTGTCATAATTGCACCATAGTATTCATTAGATTAGATAATCTACTACAGTACTACTTGTAGAACATAATTTCCCAACTTTTAAGCCAAAATCACCAAAAAAAAGAAAGGAAAAAAAAAAAAAAAAAAAAAAAAGAAGTTTTGCGTACACGTCATCATTACCCGCGCTTGGTGAAGCAAAATTCCGTTAAGGAATAGCACTCCTACAACTAACGACCTGCCTCGCAATTTCCACCATCTAATCTATTCTCAATGCCACGTGTCATAACGATAACCGGTTACCAAATAAAATATCAGCTCAAAATAAGATCTTCCAGATAAAACCCAAATAAAGTAAAAAATTAATAAAAAATAAAAATAAAAAAAGGAAAATTCCTCTTCACTGAAGAATTGCAGTGAGAGTTTCCGGCGCTTCCGATGAACGCCGAAACGTTTCTCATCACAAATTCACTTTCTCTCTCCTCTTCCTTAACTTCTCCGAAGCTTCCAGAATCTACATGTCGCCGTCGATTTTCTTTCCGGTTACTCTGGTCGGATATTCATCGGTCTCCGTCGAATTTCCGGCGGGATTCAGTGACCGCAGAATTACGAAACGTTTCGGTGAAAAGGAGAAGTTTCGGGAAAGTTTGGGCTGATGTAAAACCTAAGCCATTTGAGGTATCCGCTGACTCGGTTCCTACTGAGTCAGTGAAGTTCCGTGACGCGTTAAACGATGTAGTTTCGGAGGAGAAATGGTGGGAGCAGTTTCCTAAACGGTGGATTATTGTGATTCTGTGTTTCTCCGCTTTTCTTCTTTGTAATATGGACCGAGTAAGCTTTTCTAATTTTTTAATCCTAATTTAATTTTATTTTTCTGCTAATTATTTATTTTATTACTATTAATTTACCTAAAGTTTACTGTTTGATTCGATTATTAATAATCTAGACATGCATCTAGGGTTTTTTATCATTACTCATAATAGATTGTAGAATTACACTATCAACGTGACAAGTAATTTTGAATGAATGGAATTTACAGCAATGTAGTTGAAGTTTGACTGAGATGAACACTAAGCCATTTTTAGTAGAGTAACAAGAATAACAACTAACAACCAATTAATTGCACTTCTTATGTAGTTATGTGTCCCCTTGCTAGTATTGTCCCTCCATTAATGAAATGTGTTTACAAAAACGAATTCTTTATAGTGACTAGGCCGTCTAGACGTCTTGTTATTAGAATGATAGATGAAGATGTTTTAAAAGAAGGAAATTGTATTTGCAAATCCCCCTCTAATTATCTTGGACCGTCGAGTAATTGGAGAGGATCTTGAAATGTACTAATTAGACTCAATGTTCCGTGTATAATTGTATATTGACATCCTTAAACTTCTTGTGTTGGGACTATTGGATCGTAATTGAATTGTTAGTGATGGTTGATAGCACTCAGAGTTGATGTGTTATAAAACAATATATGAAAGGGGAGGGAGGTTGAGCTTTTCATTGGCTTGCTTCAATTCAATGTTTATATAGAGGTTGTTTGTTGGTCACCTTGCAAATGTACATGTCCATTGCTAAAGCAAGCCTTATTTATGATATAATGAAACTACGAAAGTATGATATATACTCTATAATTCATAAGCCTGTAATGTGCATTCAACTGCAATGGTCTATGCTAGGGTGAGTAACTTTAAACAGATGTTGATTGGCAGGTAAATATGAGCATTGCTATACTTCCAATGTCAGCCGAGTATGGCTGGAATCCAACCACTGTTGGTTTGATACAGTCTTCTTTTTTCTGGGGCTATCTTCTTACACAGGTGACATTTCCTATCCTCCGAATTTTGGGTGTTTTGTGTTTGTTTCTTGTTTCTGGTATGTCTTGTGTCCATCATATGTCATAGGCTATTCAAGTTAACCTACTTTTAGCTTATATGCTTGTATGTTTATCTCAGGCATCTTTTTAGATTAGCATGAGGAAACTAATTGCTATAGTTATGGTTTATGGACATGTGGTAATTTTTGCTTTGTTTTGTTCAAATTAAATATGCTAAGTGGCCACTTAATGTACAGATAGCAGGGGGTATTTGGGCAGATACTCTAGGTGGCAAAGCTGTACTTGGGTTTGCTGTAGTTTGGTGGTCTATTGCTACTGCTCTTACTCCTGTTGCTGCGAAGCTTGGATTGCCATTCTTACTTGTCACTCGTGCTTTCATGGGCATTGGCGAGGTTGGTACCTTTTTTTTTTTTTTTTTTTTTTTTTTGTAGATTCTTGAAGTCCAAATAACATAGTTTAAGTTCTGTTTTCTCTGTGATTCTCCAGGGTGTGGCCATGCCAGCCATGAACAATATGCTCTCAAAATGGGTTCCTGTGTCAGAGAGAAGTAGATCATTGGCATTGGTGTATAGTGGAATGTACCTTGGATCTGTGACAGGCTTGGCATTTTCACCATATTTAATACATACTTATGGTTGGCCTTCAGTTTTTTACTCCTTTGGTTCTTTAGGAACTGTATGGTTTGCAGTGTGGCTAAGTAAGGTAATTTCTTATAATTCATTGCAATTTCCCTTATCATATATTTCAGCCACAATATACATTTTGCTTTTTAATATTCTCAACTTGGGTACTTTTCTCCTTTCTCTTTGTTCTGGGGAATAAACACATAGGCAAGTAACTCACCACTTGAAGATCCTTCATTGCGGCCTGCAGAGAAAAAGTTGATTCTCAGCAGCAGCTTATCCAAAGAGCCAATTAAGAGCATTCCATGGAAGTTAATTTTGTCAAAAGCACCAGTTTGGGCTCTGATAGTGTCGCATTTCTGTCATAATTGGGGAACATTTATCATACTTACATGGATGCCAACATATTATCACCAGGTGTACTTCTATATTCCAGCATATGTTCTTTACATGTTGCTTTTTTCCCAGCTTGATTTGGGCAATAACCTGTCTGCAGACTGCAGCTCAAATTTGTAAATACAAAGCACAAAATATGAACTAACTTAAGAAATAATATCTGAAGATTATGGACCCTTATAGGTCCTCGTCATTTGACTATTTTTACAAGTTCAGAAGTGTGGTTACTGGTTAGTGAGTTGTGCCTAGCCGAAGTTGTTGAGTAGAGATATTGGTTCAAAATTATACGGTTGGATGAAATCAAATTGTTGAACATAGTGAGCAGCACTCTTATGAGACCCATAAAAATATGCTAATGACTAGTGAGTAACCAAAGTGAACTTTAATACTTTCATTTGTCTAAGATTGATCACCCTATGGCCCTATGCCCCTATGATGCTTATTATGAAAAAGTTATGCGACTTAAAAAGTTAAAAGGGATAATTGAATGAAGCCAGCAACTTGAAAGTTATGCGACTTTAAGGTATGCTTAGAAGGACATCCTTGTGTGCTGGCATGGTTCAACTCTCTTATAATTGATGTGATTTAGTTGTTCTTCTGAATTAATTTGAACATCAAATCATGAGAAATATACTTGAATCATGACTATTTTTTCTCCTTTGTACCATGCTTCTCAACAGGTGTTGAAATTTAACCTTTCGGATTCTGGAATGTTATGTGTTGTGCCTTGGCTTACAATGGCAATATCTGCAAATTTCGGTGGTTGGATTGCAGATACTCTTGTGAGTAAAGGTTATTCTGTGACAACAGTTCGCAAGGTAATGAAATTTATTAGCCTTTAATATTTATTATTCTAACCGCTGGTTGATTATGTTCCTTTTAGTTTACTGCATTTGAATTTGAAGTCCTGTGTTAGTTACAGTATCCTGCAGCAAGCAGCCAAGCATGTTTATGCTGGCTGTGTATAATTGATCTCTTGATCATTAAAGTTTGTGCCGATGTTCAATGACAGTAACAAAGTTAAATTGTTTTGTTAACTATACTTGTCTACTCCTTTTGCAGATTATGCAAACTGTTGGTTTTCTTGGACCTGCGTTTTTCCTAACTCAATTGAGCCATGTTGATTCACCTGCAATGGCTGTTCTTTGCATGTCCTGCAGCCAGGTTTGTAATTTTTGCTTTTCATGAGAGAAGGCAGTGATGGCTTAGTGCCTGGTATTAATCAACAGTTAGCATATTACACATGAGTACATGACCACGGAACGCACCGTTAATCATGCTCTGGTTTGCTGAAGTAAACCTTGTGACATTCATTCTTCGGAAACAAAACCGCCTGCACATAGTTTCAGGATCTTTTAGTATGAGCTATTTCAATTCTATACACCTGCAAACTAATTGTTATATATGACAAACAAAATCCTACTGTGTACAAATTTATTGGTCTAGCCAGAGAATTTCTTTTTGAAATTAGATATGAAAAAAAATTCTTGTTACTCGTTGAAATTGTCTGCATTGTTAAATCATGCATGATTCTTGATCCTAACGGCCATTTGTTTCTTATGTTGTCTGTCATAACTAGGGAACTGATGCGTTCTCACAATCTGGCCTATATTCAAATCATCAAGACATAGCCCCTCGGTACTCTGTGAGTATTTGTAACTCAGCCCCCTCCCCCCCCCCCTCTGTTTATAATAGGCCTCATAAGCCGTAGCTACACTGAAATCGCAGTAGGTAAAACATTTTTTTATTCCATAATTATGGAATTGTTCTGGTGTTCCCTAAGTCTTCAAATGTGGTTTGTTTAATCCTTTCTTATGAACCGTCCTCAGGGGATCTTGTTAGGCCTTTCAAACACTGCTGGAGTGCTGGCGGGTGTCCTGGGAACAGCAGCCACCGGCTATATATTGCAACATGGTTTGTTTACATTCCCTATATATTAGAGGTTGTGTCAGAATGTGATCAAATGAAATTATAGCATGTTGTAGTGAGCTTTGGCTACTCTAGTGTGGGACTGATAACCAAAACTCCTCTATGCATCATTAAGTGATACTGTCAATAATATAACCACAAATCCCATAACTTTATTGAGGTTGAAAGTGCTGTATGAGACATGCATAAAAAAAACAAGATCTGATGCTGTGCAGCTTTCTGACGCTTTTTATTATTACTCTCAGGTTCTTGGGATAATGTGTTCGAGGTTTCAGTTGGGCTGTATTTGGTTGGAACTGTGGTCTGGAACCTCTTTTCAACAGGTGAAAAGATCTTGGATTAATCCTTTTTAAAATAAATCTTACTTCTGCAAGGCCAGATTGTTTCAAGGAAATGCTAGTCCAAGATATTCAGAAAAGAAAGTTCACCATAATATAATGAGAAATCGACAGAGCTCGTTATTAGGCCTTTTTTTTGGGCTCAAAAAAGTAATGGATGGGTCATGGATGGTCATCTGATCAACATGAAGCTGAAATGCTGAATGCTGCTTTGAATTAGTACAATGAGAAGATTTGATTCATTACACTAGCAGCTCCCTCGAAGGTCTGTCACTAGCCTAATCACTCTTACAGAAAATGTTCTATACAATTTGCAGATGTTCTATTGACACGGCTACTTGTAAATTAGAGTAAATCTTAGATCCACCAATGGCAGGATTCATACTGGCACGGTGGTTGTTATTGCTGTAAATAACAAAAGAACTAGAATCCATTTTGTGTACTCCTTGTCTATACTTAGTTGTTACATTGTCCCAATCTTTTATAATCTTAAAATTGCATGATTTCATGCTGTATAATTCTTAAGAATTATATATACAAAGTATAAAAAGAAATATGTATACAAAAATCAACCAATTGAATACGTCAAGTCTTGTCTCTAATTCTCAAATCCTAGCTTCGCCCCTACATATACATAATTACCTTTTAAAGCGTGATGACGTTGAAGTCAATAGTGCAGTTAGATAATTCAAAAGTGGGAGTTTTGCTTTTTTGGGAGTGGCTTTTCATTAAACACAAGACTAAATTATATTCCATGGAAAAATGATGCATGGAAAAATAGGCAGGAATTTAAGCTAGTGCTATTGCCCCATTGGTTGGGGCATACATAAGATATGGCTTCTGAAATTGGATTTGTTTTATCAACCCCAGTCTACAAGTCAGCAACTAATTTTTCCACTACCAAGAAATCAACTTTCAGTGTGTCTCTGAAGCTGTTTGTTAGGTGCTTTATTAGTTGCGAAAATTTTATAACTCCAAACTAAGTTATTCTATCTGCTGGTTGGACTAATGAAGTTATGCAGTTGCATAAAAAATTATGCCAAATTATCTGGGTGAAGTTGTCCATTGACTTAAACTATGCCTGATTATCATGTTAACTAATGTTACTTTGTGAATTTGCTAACTTCTTTGCAAATTCACATAAAATCGGATTTCCACACCATATCATATATTCCGGCAACAACAACATCAAAACCTTTAGTCCCAAAATGATTTGGAGTCAGCTAACGTGAAATTTCGAACCGATTATTACGTACGGAGTAAGTAAGATGTCCTTCATGGTCAAGCTCAAATACCTCATCGTATGGGCACTGATGCACCTTTAAGTACCAATGCATGTACCACTAGTCATTTATAGTACCGTCACAAACGAAAATCATTCAAGGTGTTACTAAAACTATGTGATATTACAAAACTTGAAAAATAGCATAACATCTATCCGATGTATCACTGAAACTATTAATTATTGGGCCATTCAATTGATTGCGAGTTTCTCATATCTTTATAAAGTTTTAAATATGATCTTACTACTTAATACTCCCTACAAAAAAAAAAAAAAAAAAAAAAAAAAAAAACAGCTGGAGCAAGTTTCAACCACATTTTTATTTACTTCCTATCATTCATTCATCTGTAACACAAGAGCATCCGATCTCATTTAGAGGGGACATTGTACATTTCCACTCTTTATAGAAGTAAATTATATACGAGTACAATGTATTACATACGAAGTCATCAAAATATATATGCCTTAAACAGCAATTTTCTAGATACAAATGAATCTCATTTTAAGAACTTCAATTCAATAGAATAGTAACAACAATAATACAAATCAAAACACTAGTAAACATACACAAATGTAAATATTAAAATCAAAATGCACATTTTATGAGTAATATAATGATAAAATGAAACTTCTTTGAACACTTGAAAAGACGAAAATGCCCCCAATCTCGCTATGCACAAGTAGCAATGCCACCCGCACCACCCTTGAGCTCTCTAGGCTCAACATAAACCTTGAGCCCATGTTTCATGAACAAAGTCAAGGACATCTTTTGCTCGACCCGATGACCGGGAACCGGCTGTAGCCGGTACCGGAGCAGCACAGCAGAAGCCACAGATTTCATCTGTAGGTAAGCCAACTCTTTCCCTAAACAAGTCCTAGGACCCGCATTAAACGCCACAAACTTATAACCATCCTTAGGTGGTTCGAACCGGTATCCTGAACCGAGTACCGGTTCACTTAACCACCTTTCGGGTCTGAACTCCATGCAATCCTCTCCCCATACAGTTTTCATCCTTCCTACGGAGTAAATCGAGTACGTCACCGTGGACCCCGCAGGAACAATTGTCCCATCTGGCAATACGTCGTCGTTTACAACGTACTTGAAATCCTCCGGTACAGAAGGGTATAATCGTAAAGTCTCAGCTAACGCTGCTTTTAGATAAACAAGTTTATCAGCCTCATCAAACTCTAGTGGTTCACGAACCCACTTACCCGGTTCATCGCCACGTGTCTGCTTTAACACCGTCGATATCTCATCGATGATCTTTGCCTCAACCTCAGGGTGATTCATCACTAACCAGAAAAACCAACTCAAGGCCACTGATGACGTGTCACGTCCAGCAAGGACAAAGTTCAAAGCGATGCGTTTAAGCACATCATCAGCAAAGACGTTACCGTTTTGATCTCTCTTATTCATAAACCTTGATAGTAAATCATCAGAAGGGTTCTCTTTTCTTGCATTGAGTGCACCTGACATATAATTTTCCACAACTTGTAAACTTTTTTGTAACCTTTTTTCAGCTCCAACTTGAAATACCTTTTTTAACCTCCATAGAAAACCAGGGTATAGTAGCCTCTGGAGGGTAGACTCGGTAGCGGAGTCGAAAGCGGAGGCAAACGGGTTATCGGGTAGACCCGGTGACAAAGTCATCGGGTCTTTCCCAAAAGTCAACCCACAAATATTATCAAAAGTAAGCCTAAGAAGCAAGTCTTGTAAATCAATCGGTTTTTTTTCATCTTCAGCTGTTTCTAGAATCTTCCAAAGCCGGGTTCGGATAGTCCGGTTAACCCACCGGTTCATGGCTTGACGTAGGGTTCTTGTAGTAAATTCAAGAGCAGCAGTTTTACGTTGTAAAAGCCAAGTTTCACCATCACTGTTAAAAATACCTTGGCCTAGTAAATCATGAAAAGTTGCTTGCCATTGTGGGCCCTTAGGGTAGTTATCGAACCGGGTTCGGAGGATGTGCTCAATATTTTTTGGATGGCACGTAACCGTGTAGAACCCTTGCTTGTATGCCAAGAAAGGTATGGCTATGGTACATGTTTGGTACGTGGCGGCCCCACTAGTCCGCCGGAGGTTACTCGCAATCCAATCATGGAGTCGATTTCGATTTTTGAACAGATATGGTAGACTTCCTACTAGAGGCCAAAGGTTTGGACCAGTACTTAAACGTCTACACAGCTGAGAGAACCATAACATGTAGACCGATAACATGGCCACCATGCCTAAAAAGATTTGCATTTGCATGGTTTCCATTTTTATGATATGTATGTATATGTGGTGCTAATTGTGAAGTTTTAAGTTATGGTTTTTCTTTTTTTTCTTTTGGGGGGAAGGGGGGGTGTTTAAGAAAAGAGGGATATGATAGAAGAAGAGTTGATGTGATGAAGTAATGGGTTTGAGGAGAGTGAGAGAAATGGGGTGTTATAATATATAGATGAGGTAAGCGGTAAACCAAAAAGGTGATAAATTTGGTAAAAGGAGTTTAGTAAAAGTTGTTGAGAATTTGTTTTTGTTTAATTTTGGGGGTTTAGGGGGTTAGTCACCAGGGCACTACATATTTGCACATGTGTGAGGATATTTCATATGCGTTTTTGGCTTTTGCTACTCGTGTAAGAATAAGACAAGTACTCAAAGAAGTGGCAAGTGTAAGTTAGATTAGCAATGACGATTATGGTAATGAACTTGCTTTTGCTTGGATGATTATAATATTGAAATTATGTAAAATATATTATTATTATTATTATTATTATTATTATTATTATTATTAATAATAATAAAGCCAATTTGGTTTTTGAATTTTGATCATACCTTAATCCTCATCTTATGCGAGTAATATTTTTTACTCTGTGTCCAATTTTTACAGGCCAGATTTTTATAAGTAGGGGAAAAAGGTAAAGGTACTCCTAAGCTACCTCTAAGTAGGTATGATTCAAACTTTGGACCTTTAAGATCTAAGATAAGTCTCTTACAATTATACAAGAGGGGATGAGAAATCGGATGCAAAACATGAATAAGATTCATAAGAATATGAAATAAAAATATTACACAAAGGGACAAAATTGAATACAATGAGGAACCGAAAAATCAGAAAATAAAAGCAAACGAGAGTCATGAGTGATAAAGTTTCCCAACAAAATCAATATAGTGATGAAAAAAAGAAAACTCGTATAATTGATAACTGATAATAAAGCAATAAAGCAATAAAAATTATAAATGCAAAAAATCATAAAGCAAATTAATTCATTCTTTGACTCTTCACTCAATCAACCCCTGCTCCTCCCTTAAAAAACATATTAATTCCAGTAGAAGGCAACTCAATATTGCAACTCACGGTCCAAAAATCATGGATTAACAAATTAACCTTCATAAAATTAAGTACAGTGATCATATTTAATTCAATCGTCAAGCAATGCATTATTTCAGCGTATCGCAAAGTAAGAAAGTCTTCAACCCAATCAAGGCGGTGATATTCAAAAAAAGACATCAAACTAAAACAAAAAGTGATACAAATGAGATTCAATTTTAATACAAATGAAATGAATAAGTTCGATTATTGTATGTGTAACATCTGTTGATGTATGACAAAGTTGACAATATTGTTCAATTAAACGACTAATGTAGACTTACTAGTATAATTATTACGGAGTAATAATATATATTCTCTTCTAGACACCATATTAATTAAATCTACCTAGGATATTTAGATTATTTACAGGCAGAATGGCACTATAGTCAGCTACATGCAACTAACTATTAATGAATTGAAAAGATCTTATTTTTCTTGGTTAGTTTACGCAAACCATAGTTTATACATATTTTGTCTACTTTCCTGTCGTGTACCAATGACTACCAAGTAGCAGGTTCATACTAACACACACTATAGTACTAATACAGTAATATTATACGAAGTAAGTTGTATTTTATAATATATATTTTATATAATATACGTGAATCGATCAACTAAGTATAATATTAATTATCATATGATATTAGTTGTTGGTGATACGGCTACTAATTATTGGATAGTTTTTAATTAAAAATGTGAGAAATTATACCAGGTAGTTAGAGATGGTGTAACCATGCTAGGAAAATAAGGTTGATAAAAAGCAAGGAAAAACACTTTTTCTACAAAAGAAAAAATAGAAGGAAGAGAATGAATAAAAATGGTAATGGGTATTTTTGACCTATTTGAG